CATCTGCTGGCCACCAACCATCTGCTGGCCACTGCTGAGCACCCATGGACCTCTGACCACCCACTGACCACCTATGGACTGCTGACCACCTGCTGACCACCCAGTGACCACTGACCACCCTGTGGCCACCCTGTGACCACTGACCACCTCCTGACCTGCTGACCACCCATGGACCTCTGACCTTCTGCTGACCTCTGACCACCCTGTGGCCACCCACTGACCCCTGTGACCACCCTGTGACCACTGACCACCCGAGCTTCTCATGACCACTGACCACCCTGTGACCACCCTGTGACCACTGACCACCTCCTGACCTTCTGCTGACCACCCATGGACCTCTGACCACCTGCTAGCCACTGACCACCCACTGACCACCTCCTGACCTTCTGCTGACCACCCATGGACCTCTGACCTTCTGCTGACCACCCACTGACCACCTATGGACTGCTGACCACCCTGTGGCCACCCAGTGACCTCTGACCCCCCGTGTCCCCCCTGCGGCCCCTCCCCCCCCAATAAAGGTCACGGATGGACCCGGAAGTGCTGCTGGGATTTGGGGGGGACCCCAAAATTTGGGGGATTTTGGGGGGGGTTGACCCCAAATTTTGGGGATTTGGGGGCATTGACCCCAAATTTGGGGGTTTTGGGAGGATTGACCCCAAAATTTGGGGGATTTGGGGGGGTTTGACCCCAATTTTGGGAAGTCAGGGGTGATTGACCCCGAATTTGGGGGTTTTGGGGGTGTGACCCAAAATTTGGGGCTTTTGGGGGGTGTGTTCCCAAATTTTGGGGATTTGGGGGCATTGACCCCAAATTTGGGGGTTTTGGGGGCTGTGACCCCAAATTTGGGGGTTTTGGGGGGTGTGACCCCAAATTTGGCAATTCTGGGGTGGTTTGGGGGGGTTAGACCCAAAATTTGGGGATTTGGGGGGGGTGTGACCCAAAATTTGAGGGCTCAGGGGGTTTTGGGGGAGTTTCACCCCAAAATTTGAGGGTTCGGGTGTTGTTGGGCCCCAAATTTGGGGTTTTGGGGCGATT